GGGAGTCGGGGGTCGGGGGTCTCTGCCATGACAGGCAACAGTTGCAGAGGGAAGCTGCAGGGAGTCTCAGGTTATCTGTCACTGTAGCTGGGCCGACTCATGCGAGCTGCAAAACTGCACTGCTTACCCCAGGCCCCCCGGCTGCACTGCCCACCTTCAGGAATGGTGCACCAGCCACCTCCGGGCAGTGCCTCGAAGCACCGGCGCTCTGTCTCCATCACACTGCCAGCAGCCATGCTCCTCAAGGCCTGTGTCTTCCCCTGGCGGGTCACGTGGGCCCCAGGCCTGCACCCCTCTCCTCCGTTCTCCAGGCTGCCCGCCTGTAGTCTGCTCATCATACTGCCTTCTTCTACAAAGCAACTGCTAGGATAATCCCTAACTCCTACATACGGAACCTTTCTTTGATCTGTGTATTTGTCATGCTATTTAAGAACATTCAGGGCTGATTCCATAACACAGCAGGCTAAGCCTCCACCTCTGGGGCTGCCATCCCCTACGGGCACCGGCTCATGTCCTGGCTGCTCCACTTCCCATCCAGATCCCTGCTTATATGTCTGCAGCAGAGGATCGCTCAAATGCTTGGGCCTCTGTACCCACTTTGGAGACCTGGAAGAAGCTCCTGGCTCCTGGCTTCAGATCAGCTCAGCTATGGCCACTGCAGCCCTTTGGAAAGCAAACCAATAGATGGAAGATTTATCTTTCTCTCTCTAGAACTCTGCCTTTCAAATACATAAACAACTTGAAAATGAACGGAATCCCACAGTCCTTCCAATGAGGGGGGTGGGCGGCGAATGTCTCTGGAAAAATACACATAATGAAAAAATGTGCACAATGTACAGAAACTTACTGCACCCAAATCAGCTTGTCCTGTCACCCTACTGTTACAGGAACTGCTTGGGATCCCTTATACTCAGCCTCGCAAATGAGATAAAGAGCCAGGCTTCTCCACAGGTCACTGGTCACATCACTGTCATAGCACACGGCCCCGAGCCACTCCATAAAAGCCAGTGTGTGCTGGCTACGGCTCCTGCCATCTGCCGGGCACCTCGTTTAACTGTAGGTCCAGCCCTCAGAACCAGCAGCCAAGGCTGACTGAGCAGAGAGCCAGCAGGTAAATCAGGGCCTGGGTACAGCACTGCCCGGCCGGGCTGTTGGGAGGGGCATCCCTGAGTCAACTCAGATCGCCCCCTTGGTTTCCCGCTGCGCGCCTCCAACTTATGTGAGCAACCATGTGGTTCTGCGTAGCTCAGCTTGGTCCAACACTCTCTCAGCCGCAACTGCGCAGAGAGCCTGCCAGGCCACATCCTCAGAGGCTACCCTGCATCAAAACGAACCTCCCACACGCTATGCCAGCACTAGCTCCAGTGGCCTTCTCCTGGCATGCACACACACACACACCCCTCACTGGTAAATACAGACCTAATCATGGTTCACACACACACACACACACACACACACACACACACACACACACATCCCATCACCATCCCCTGCAGGTTAATACAGACCCACTCATACTGCAGCATCTACAGGGCTGCAGCCACACTGCCTAGGAGCCCGCTTCCTCCTCCACCGACTTCCTGTTCTCCCTTAGAGCTCACCAGTACCTGCCCTGAGTGCTAAGCATAAGCCCCGCCCCATGCTCCCCTGCCCCATGCTCCCCCTGCCCCACACAACCCCCACCCCACGCTCCCCCTGCCCCACGCTCCTCCCTTCCCCCCCACTCTTTTGCCCCACACTCCCCCCCAGACCCCACATCTACACCCCACATTCCCCCCATCCCACACTCCCCCCTCCCCCCTCCTGTTCCCCTGCCCCATGCTCCCCCAGCCCCACGCTCCCCCCACCCCACGCTCCCCCTGCCCCACACTTCCCTCTCACCTCCCTGCCCCACACTCCCCTGCTCTACCTCCACCTTCCATGGCACCTGGCACTGAGAATGGCAATTGTCCATTGACCTAGTTCTGTGCTCTCCCTGGTGTAAGCTGCTGAAGGACAAGGTCTCCCATCTTCTGCACTCAGCACAGTGCCAGCACTGTCTGCCATGAAGAGGCGCTCGAGACACTGGGCTGGGAGGCAGATGCTGTGGTGTAGCACGCTCACCTGCCATGTGGGGTGCACCCACCACATATCAGAGTGCCCTGGGATTGAGCCCCCCCTCTGCTTCCAGTCCAGTTCCCTGCTTCGAGGGGTTAGCAGATGATGGCCCAAGTGCCACCCATGTGGGAGACCCAGACAGGGTTCCTGGCTACTGCTTTCTGGTTGGCCCAGCATCCGTCACTGCCAGCTTCCTGGGGGAGTACTCAGTAGACTCTCTCCGCCTTTCCAACAAACTAATTTAAAACTTTGAAAAATAGATACATAAACCTTGGATGAGTGAATGTCTTGAGAGAGTACAGGAAACATATACAAGTTTCCTGCAACAAAAGAAATATATAAGTTTTTTTGGGTCATCAATCCCTCCTAAAAATCCACACTAAACAGGGCTGCTGATACAAGTGCACAAGACATTACAAATCGAGCTGGCTGCCATCGCCTGTCAGCATTTATGATTGCACCTGGCAAAATAACTGCTGCAGATGTTTAATAAATACATTCAGAAATGAAGGGCTGGGTGAATACGGGGACATCGGAATGTTCCATCTTTTCCCAACTGCCTTCCTCGGATTCAATTATTTGTTGTTGAAGGGTCTGCAGAATGGCCACGGATCACAGCCGCAGAGATACCTGGCGTGTGGAAAGATCATTTAAACACCTGGCACAACTGCAGTCTCTGAAATGTGAGAATCGAAGATCCCACCACGTTCAAAGCATGTCACAGGCAGCATTCTAGGGTGCTATCCGACTCAAACGCCCCTGGCCTCCGGGGAAACATGCACATACAAGTTTCCCAGGGCACCCCAAAACGCGGAGCTGCATCAGCCAGTCAACCTAACTGGGAAGCACATACAGCGGGCAACCAATCAGAGGTCAAAGAATGCCTCTGGAAGCCTCCAGCTCCTGAGCCTACTCCTCAGACCCTCAGCAAAATGCTGGGAGTGGGCCAGCATTGCCTGGGGGTCAGGCCTCCTTCCAGCCCAGCAGACTCAGAACCAAGCAGCCAGGGGAGGAATCAAGAAGAGGAGCTTAGGCCCCATGCCTTCTGGTCAGCAAAAGGAGACTCCCACCAGGGGCTCCTATACTCCACAAGGCCAGTCTAACTTGGCGTTGAAACGCCTGCGAAAAGCCGGTCCTGGTCCCCACCCACTCCTCCATTTTCTTGGAATTCCCCCACTCCCAGGAACACCCCCAAGACTAAAAACTGTCAGAAGCCCAGCCTGCTGAAGCTCTCCTCTGCCGCGCGGTCACTCCATCTATGCCCAGGCAGACAGCCACTTCTCTGAATTTACGAATCTCTAATATACTCAACTTGGCTGTGAATCTGATCCCCCTTTCTTCTCTCTGTCCGTGCGCCTCTCTCTCAACATCTGGTCACCTGTCTCTGTGTCACTTTTCCAACAGCCACCGTCCAGCAAAGGGGTCTTCGCTCTTAAGAGATGCTATGGGAGCAGCAGCCCCCTAACTTCTGACTTGATTAGAAAGAAACGCCTATACCTTCATCTCCCCTTGTGTATAAACAAAACCCTCATGTTTTCGCTGAACCCACTGCTGCCCACCATGGAGCGGCCACTCTGGCAGCTAAGGCACTAAGGGGCAGGTGTGGCATGGGCTATCCCTGGTCACGATTCTGAAGGAGGAGGTTACATTCCTTCCTCACCACCCTTTCCAGCGCTGAGGCCTATTGCCACGTGCGCGGCGATGGCAGTGGGGGAGGGGAAGAAGCAGCTTTTTCCCAAGACACATAGCCACCCCCTGGGACTGCAGAGGGAGAAGGGTCAAGCAACAGACGGAAGGAAACAGGGCCCCTGGCGGCTCCCCACCTATCAGAGCCCGCTCCCGCGAGAAGCCAACTCCGGGCTTGGTGGTGCCACAGTCACTCCCCACCTATCAGAGCCCGCTCCCGCGAGAAGCCAACTCTGGGCTTGTTGGTGCCACAGTCACTCCCCACCTATCAGAGCCCACTCCCGCGAGAAGCCAACTCCGGGCTTGGTGGTGCCACAGTCACTCCAGGCATGTGCGTGAGGGCAGCTGAGCAGGTGAACGGCAGACCCAGCGCAGGCACAGGCCTTCCACACTCTGACCATCTTGTGAAAGATACTAAAAATAATGACAATTCTTATATATTTCCTTCACTACTTATTTGGAAGGGAGAAACAGAAGAGAGAGCTTCCATCCCCCAGTTCCTGGTGGGGATGGCCCAGGTTAAAGCCAGAAGCCTGGAACTCCATCCTGGTCTCCCACATGAGTGACAGGGACCCCAAACTTGGCCCATGCAACCAGGCGTGTTAGCAGAGAGCCGAATCAGAAGTGCAGCAGCAAGAGCTCAAACTGGCACTGCCACTTAGGATGCCCATGCCACAAGCAACAGCTTTCTGTGCTGTGCCACAGCAATGCTGGCCCTAAACTTACCTTTAAAAGAAGAAAAAAATAAGTATTTAATTTTATTGGAAAGGCGGGTTTACAGAGACAGAAGCAGAGACAGAACAAAAATCTTCCATTTGCTGGTTCACTTCCCTAATGGCAGTAATGGCCAGAGTTGAACCGATCTGAAGCCAGGAGCAAGGAGCTTCTTCCGGGTCTGCCATGTGAGTACAGAGTCCCAAGACTTTGGGCCATCCCCTGCTGCTTTCCCATGCCACAAGCAGGGAGATGGTTGGGAAGTGGAGCAGTCAGGACTCGAACAAGAGATCATACAGAATGCCAGTGCTTGTAGGAAGAGGATTTGCCTGCTGAGCTACTGTACTGGTCCCCCTAAACTTACCTTTCCCCTTCATTATTCCAGGAACTTTTTGAAAGTCCTTGGTGTTTGATGCCACTCAAAATGTCCCAGAAGAACAGGGAGCCCCAAAGGCAGGGATGGCTTTCACAAGGGGAAGGCTATGGGGAAAGGAGTGACTCACTGTTTCTGCCGAGGAAGGCGGCCTCTGCACGCTGATGCTCTCGGTCACAAACGCTACGTGCTCTGACTCGAGGAGAAAGGGAGAGACGATAAGCAGGGCCCATGTGTTCAAGTCCTCCACCGACTGCGGAGAGAGAGAGACGAGGACTGAGTGTCACCTCAAGGCACATCCAGCCCACTCCAGGGTTGCCTTCTTGTCTAAATCTTTGATTTACTCAAATGCAAGCCAGGGCACCAACTGCTTGAGCCATCCATCGCCTGCTTCCTCCTCGAGTACGCATTAGCAGCAAGTCCAGGACTCACACCTAGGCCCTCTTCTACAGGACACAACGCTTACCCCCAAAAGCAAAACTAATGTGGCATTTCCACAAAGACCAACTGATTTATTTGAAAGGTAGAAAAGAGAGAGCTTGTCCCACTGCAGCTTTACTCCTTAAGTGCCTGCAATAGCCAGTTAGGCAAGCCTGAAGCCAGGAGCCAGGGATTTCTTCTGGGTCTCCCACGTGGGTTCAGGGTTCCAAGAACCTGGACCATCCTCTGCTGCTTTCCCAAGTGCATTAGCAGGAGCTGGATAAGAAGTAAAACAGCCAGGATTCAAGTTGGCTCCCTTATGGGATTCCAGCGTGGCAGGCACCGGTTTTACCCACTGAACCACAGCAACGGTCATAATTTAGTTCTTTCTAAAGCAGGTTAGAACCAAAATGGTTTAGCCAATTAGATACAGTTGGCAATCCTTGGGGGGTGGGGGGTTCCTATCCCTGCATCCCACCAATCTCCTACAGAAAAAAAAATTTTTTAATACCACACATGAACTGAACTTATCAATTTGATGTTTGTCACCATTCCTACACTTGATCTTAGCCAAAGGCCGAGAAGCGATCACTGCTCCTTACGTTACACAGCACGCCACTAGTCCACCAGCATTTGGATTAGGTTGTACACGTGATTAGGGGCAGGTCAAGGATACGCAGACTCCAGACGAATAGTGTGTATTTTTTAAAGAAAAGGCAAGAGCATCCAAAAACACTTGTGTCCCAGGACCTCCTAGAACCAACGCCCTGCGGACTGCCACGGCCAGCCCTCACATGCACACGCACGCGCACGCACGCACACACACACGTTAACAAATATGAAAAGGCATGTGGGTCAGGCCCCACTGCGTCATCATCCCAAATCGGCCTCTGCCTGAAAAATTGGAACAACTCAAGATTTCATAAGTTTCTGTGGAACTAATTAACAGCGTGGGAGTTCTGCCAACCAGTCATTAAAACAGAGATACTGTGCACTTCGCTGAGACACAGAACGTACATTGAAAGCGTCCAGTTTGTACTGAAGCGGTGGTACTGATGAGATTTCATCTCTGATGGGATAGTCGGTGTAGACACCCAGCACTCATTTGATCTGAACCACACCAGCTCTGCTCCTCAAATCAGAGTGAGCAGCAACGGAAAGAAGTGGGAGAACCTGCACTGGGCTCCCTGCTGCCGACACAGCCTAGTCCAAGACACTGTGGCATCCGGAGAGAGAACCCGTGGATGGGAGCTCGCTCACTGCCTCTGTAGATGAACAGTGAAGCAGCCACACAACCATAGCATCAGCCCAGTAATGTTGTAAACCTTAAAAAAAAATTGCTAATCACAAGTTGTCAAACTTTCTAACCACAGGCTTTTAAAAAGCCAAGTGAAGTTGTGGCACAGTGCGTTAAGCCACTGCCAGCAACACTGGCATCTCACATGAGCATTGGTTTGGGTCCTGGCTGCTCCACTTCCCATCCAGCTCCCTGTTAATACACACCTGGGAAAGCAGTAGATGGTCCAAGTATTTGGGCCCTTACTAACCGATATGGAAAACCAGGAGTTCCACGCTCTTGGCTTCGGGCTGGCTCAATTCCAGATGGTAGAGCTATTGGAGAAGTAGACCAGCAGACAGAAACACACTCATTCTTACGTGCTCTCTCTCTCTCTCTCTGCAACTCTGCCTTTCATATAAAACACAATAAATCTTTTACAAAAAGAAACCAGGGCCCGGCGCAGTAGCCTAGCAGCTAAAAGTCTTTACCTTGAATGCGTCCGGATCCCATATGAACACTAGTTCTAATCCCAGCTGCCCCACTTCCTGTCCAGCTCCCTGTTTGTAGCCTGGGAAAGCAGTCGAGGACAGCCCAAAGCCTTGGGATCCTGCACCCGTGTGGGAGACCTGGAAGAAGTTCCTGGCTCCTGGCTTCAGATCAGCACAGCACCAGCCATTGCAGTCATTTGGGGAGTGAATCATCAGATGGAAGATCTTCTCTCTTCCACTCTGTATATCTGACTTTCCAATAAAAATAAATAAATCTTTTTTTAAAAAAAAAAAAAAGAAAGAAAGAAAGAAAGAAACCAGAGTTTCAACTCAACAACCACTAACCACATTTCATTCCCTGAAATTTCCAGCAACTATTTCAGGTCAAGCTGCTGAGCTAAACAGGCTGAGCCCCTAGGGAGAGAACAACTAAAACCAGAACTAGGAACTGTGTCTGCAGTCCCTGCGGACAGAGCTGCAAGGTGCTGTCTGGCTGGGACAGCTGGAGAGCTCGCCCTGATTCAGCTGTTCCCTGAGCAAAGCTTCAGTGTGAGCCAGGGCAGGAGGGCAACGAGGCAGGGGCCAAAACTTTAGGACAAGCCTACCTAACAGAGCATCCACAGGAATTACAGAAATGTCCAAAAATCGAACCGGAGGCGGGCATTTAGAGGACTGCGATGCCCACATCCAGGGGCTGGCTTTCAGGCACAAGCAGGTAAAGCCACACTCGCAGCACTGGGGTTGCCTAGAGGAACCCCTTGTTGTCCAGCAGCCCCACTTCCGGTTCAGCTCCCTGCTAAGACTGTAAAAGCAGCAGACGGGCCAAGGGCCGGGAAGCCCCTGCCTTCAGTCTGGCCCAGCACTGGCTGGGGCAGCCACTGGAGAATGGGGCAGCAGACGGGAGACTGTCTCTTTCACTCCCTCTGTAACACTTGGGGAGTGAATCATTGGACGGAAGATCTTCCTCTCTGTCTCTCCTCTCTGTATATCCGCCTTTCCAATAAAAAAAAATAATAAAAATAAATCTTTAAAAAAAAAAAAACGTAACTTTATGCCCAAGTCCACATCAGATTGGCTGTAGCTCCGTTCTGTAGTTTCCTGCCAATGCAGACGCTGGCAGGCAGTGGTGATGGTCCGGGCAGCTGGGCACCCACATGAGAGACCTGGACTGGTTTCTCAACTCCAATCTACCCAGTCCTCACTACCACGCCACCAGACACTCTGGCAGTCAATCAACAAACAGGTGCTCTCTCCGTTTCTCTCCCCCTCCCCCATCCCATTTATATAAGTTTTTAAAAAAGTAAAACTGTCGGCCCGGCGCGGTGGCGCAAGTGGTTAAGGTCCTCGCCTAGCACGCCCGGGATCCCATATGGGCGCCGGTTCTAATCCCGGCAGCCCCGCTTCCCATCCAGCTCCCTGCCTGTGGCCCGGGAAAGCAGTCGAGGACAGCCCAAGGCTTTGGGACCCTGCACCCGCGTGGGAGACCCGGAAGAGGCTCCTGGCTTCGGATCGGCATAGTATCGGCCCGTTGCGCTCACTTGGGGAGTGAATCATCGGATGGAAGATCTTCCTCTCTGTCTCTCCTCTCTGTATATCCGCCTTTCCAATGAGAAAATAATAAAAATAAATCTTTAAAAAAAAAAAAAAAAAAAGTAAAACTGTCCAGAAAATGTTACGTATCTATGTTTTCCTGTGTTCAAAGTTTGTACTTTGAGCTACACATAAAAATATTTTAATGAATCAACCTCAGCTTGGAAACCATTATGACAGAAAATCCCATCCCCCCGTTCTTCCTCAGGTTACATTATCTTTCACTATCAGGTCTCTGAGAGACTTAAGCCCTTAGCAGCCTGGGCACCCTGGCATCTGGGTGGTACTAGTTATTGCCAGGCAGGACTAGTAATGCAGCTGCCTAGGAGAAAACAGAGGCTGGAATTCCGCCGTGTCACAGCCCAGGAAAAACAAAGTGGATTTTTTTTTCACCAAGTGACAAGACTGCAACCTCCACCTTGAACCCCGAAACAAGATTGTTCAATTCCACCTTGACGCCAACACCTCGCGTCCTCACTGAAGACACACTGCATCGCTCAACTTCCCAGAGGCCAGATCAAACAGATCAAACAGATCATCAGGCAAGACCAGGCGACCGGGCTCATAGAGCCGCCCTAGGTCCACGCTGCACGTGGGCTGAATGGAACAACTACTGTTCCCTTCCACAGCCAGGGGGCCCGGGCCAAGCCAAGAGCCCGGGATGGCGCCTCAGCGCATGGAGCTGGTGTCGGCGAGCCCTAACACAGGCTGTGACCGCCACGGCGCCCCGGGCGCCACTGACAGGCTGCACAGGGGCCAGGCTGTGTCGCCTCGGCGGTCCCCGGGGAGGCCCTTCCAAGTCCGGGTTCACTCAAACGCTAGTGGACCACGCAGGAGAGGATGTCCGGGGTGTGCCCGGCCGACGCCAGAGCGCCCACAGCCGCGCACCCCGGTCCCTGGCGCTCCCCGGTCCCTGGCGCACCCCGGGCCCTTGAGCACCCCGGCAGGGCCCTGGAGCACCCCGGTCCCTGGAGCACCCCGGTCCCTGGAGCACCCCGGCCCTGGAGCACCCCGGGCCCTGGAGCACCCCGGCCCTGGAGCTCCCCGGGCCCTGGAGCACACCGGGCCCTGGAGCACCCCGGGCCCTGGAGCACCCCGGCCCTGGAGCACCCCGGTCCCTGGAGCACCCCGGGCCCTGGCGCTCCCCGGTCCCTGGCGCACCCCGGGCCCTGGCGCACCCCGGGCCCTGGAGCACACCAGGCCCGGGCTCCCGGCGCCTCCCCGGCTGCGAGGGGCGGAGCGCGGGGGTCCCCGGCGTCGCTTCCGGCCGGCGCCCAGGCCCGCGGCCCGCCCGCCGCACGCCCCACGCCGGCCCTCCGCGCGCGCGCACCGCCCACCTGGCCCTCGGCGACGCAGAAGACGCGGCCGCCGCGCCTCAGGCACACGCGGGCGTCGCGGGGCTGCGCGGCGGCGCCGCAGAAGGTGAAGGAGCAGCGCGAGGCGCGCAGCCGCCGCACCGTGGCGCGCACCAGCTCGGCCGGCCGGCGCCCCCAGCGCGCCCACAGGTACAGGTAGCACAGCGTGATGAGCATGGCCGGCGCCACGGCCGCCGCCAGCCCGCCCCGGGCGCCGCCCCGCCCAGCCCGCCGGCCGGAAGAGACGCGCCCGCCAGCTCGCCCGCCCGCTGGGGCGAGAGGGGAGGGCCCGGGAGCGGCCGCCGGGAGGCTGCGGGCGTGCGGAGAGAGGCCGCCCCGGCAGAGGCCGCGCTGGCGGGGCTGGAGCTGATGGCCTAGGCTGGCGGTGGGAGGCAGTTGGTGGGCGCGGGGACCGTGCGGCCCGAGGCCGGCCTCCCCACCGTGGGGTCGTGCACTTCTACAGCATCCACAGCCCACACGACTTCTAGTACAGTGGAAGCAAGCCGGTGCACCACTTGGATCTGTTTTTATTGAATTCAAAGATAGACTTTTAAAAGGGCAGGCTTTTCGCCTAGTGGTTAAGACACCGAGGTCGCCAGCGCTGAGGCATAGCAGCTGCCTGCAGCACTGACACCCTATACGGACACCTTTTCCTGTCCTGGCTCTTGGCTTCTGGCTTTGGGGGGCAGCACAACCCCGGTTGTTCGGAACATTTCAGCAGTGAACCTGTAAACTTGGCCTCTTCCTGCCAAACCAGCATCCCACATGGGTGCTGGTTAGTGTCCAGGCTGCTCCACTCCCGATTCAGCTCCCTACGTATGGCCTGGGAAAGCAGCGGAGGTGAGCCAACGACTTGGGCCCCTGCACCCACGTGGAGGACCCGGAAGAGTGCCTGGCTCCAGTTCCAGCTGTAAGGAGTTATTCCAATATCCCACCCTGGACCCAGCGCCATTTCTTCTTCCAGCTCACAAAATTCACGCAGGTCTAGCCATCCATTATCAGATGTAACCTGGCATTCCACCTGGGAATCCCACCCCCATCTCCCAGCCCCTTCCCCAGCCCCGCCCACTCACCAATCATCCCCAGGCATTCACCTGCAGGGACCAATCCCCTGGGATTGGGATTGCCCTCGATCCCTCCCGATCCCCACCCCCCACACCTTGCAGACAAAAAAGCCCCCAAGTGCAGCTCCCTCTTCTTCCGGCCTCCCTTCCCCTTCCTCTTTTTGGACTGATTCCACCCCCCACCCCCACCCCCCGCACCCCCTCCCCGTTCCTTCCCCGCTGGAATAAACCTCCTAAGATACTTCATTGCCTCTGGTGTTTTCAGCTCACGGTAAGGAACCAGATTGTGGGAATTAACTGCGAGTAGTAATATCGTATGAACTAGAACTTAAACTATTTTAACTAACCAAGATCTCAACCCAGCTTATTCACTGGGCATGCAGCAAGAACCCTGGGCTGCTGCCCAGTCTCCTCTGTCCTTGGACCAGCTCTGCTAGGACTTCCTTGGTAAATAACTCTAGGAAGTTAATTGTAACACTCATCCTGTTTTTTTAGCCACATGTAATGAGTCTGCCAAGAAGGTGACCTGTAACTTGATTGGAAGGTCCAGAGAGATAGACATGCCTTCCTGCCAGTCTCAAGGTCATTGTTGGTTGGAAATTGTTGGGACCGCCCTTCTGCCTGCCCCTTTTCCTACTCTATATAAGCTTGTACCTTCTCCCAGATAAATGGACATCCCTCAGCAGTTTGCGTGGTTCTGTGGCCAAAGAACTCTGTCACCTCACCCCTCCTCAGTGGGCCTGCAGGGCAAAAAAAACCCCCCAAGACTCAGAACCTCGGATGACCTGAGAAACACTCATCATCACATGTGGCAGTGATGGTTTTAAAGAGCACAGGTGCAGTGGGCCAGAGACCCAAGACAGTAAATCATTGGCACAGCTGGAGCCTGCACGCCCCAGCAGCAAGTGACAGCTGAAAAGTGGGTTCCTGTGTGCTGACAAGACCTGATAGAGTTTGGAGAAACAAAGGTACCACAGGGCTACCAGAACCTGGAAAATGACAAGACCAGCTGTCTGCGGACAGACATGGTCCTGTAGAGTGGCTCTGAGTTTGCTGATTGTGGTTGTAGGAACCACTCCCCACCCCTGCTGGTGTGGAGAAGTATGCTCTTGGTTGTGTAGTTTCATTTCCGAAAGGGTCTCACAGGGACTTTGAGCAGCTCGTGGAGGAACGGGTGTTACGGCACAGTGGGTTAAGCCACCACTTGCAGCCCATCTTGGCTGGTTCAAAATCAGGCTGATTCAGCCTTGCAGTCCAGTAGTCTGTGATGTTCGGGGAGGTAGCTGCCAGCCCAGGTACGTGGGTTCTTACACCCGTGGAGCTGAATTCAGATCTCATTCCTGGCTCCTAACCCTGGCTGTTGGCAGGTGCTTGTAGGGTGATTCAGTAGGTGAAAGTCATCTCTCCTTGCCACCCCACCTGCCCACTGTGCCTTTAAAATTTTTCAGGAAACCCCGCAGAAAAAGAAATAAAAAGAACATTTGTATGTAAACAGTTTTGAAAACTGTGGAATTTTCCCCTAATGTGCATTTCCCATGAACTTTTCAAATTTTGTTTGACAAACACCAAGTTTTGCACCAAAATGATCTTAGTGTGATTGCAACTTGTAAGTGCTCACATTTTCCAGCACATTTTGGTGCACACACTGCTAAATGTGCACAAACTCCGAGTCCAGAAACAGGAATTCCTGCTTTTGCTCCTCCGAGGCTTCCCACGCTTACAGCTGGTTGCACCAGGAGAGGGGTCCTTTCTGGAACACACCACCTGTCCCATGCGGCTGGGAGCCTTTGCTCTCAGAGTGTTACAGTTTTCTTTCCTGTATATTCTGGGAGACAGTGACTTCACACTGCCATCCTGTCAGTGTTCCTGTAATCCCAGAGTGTGATCCCTTCTCCCGATTCAAGTTAAAACATTATAGTAGGGGGAGAGATTGTGGTTCAGTGTGTTAAGCTGCTGCCTGCCCATACTGGAGTGCAGGGGTTTCAAGTCCCAGCTACTCAGAGCTTCTGATCCAGTTTCCTGACAGCTCAAGTGCTTCAGCCCATGCCACCAGGTGAGATACCCCGATGGAATTCTTGGCTCTTGTTGCAAGCATTTGAACACCAGGAAGTGAACACCAGGGAGAAGGTCTGTTTCCCACCATCCCTCTGCCTTTGGAATAAAATACCTTTTACCAAATTATGGCAGTTCCCCCTGCTTATCTGCAGGAGTGTGTCCCAAGACCCTCAGTAAACACCTGAAACTTTCAGAGTACTGCTTACATATCTGCTAGTTTTTCTCCTACACATATACATCGTGACACTGTAAGTTATAAATCAGACAAGAGATTAGCAGCGACCATATAAGACAAGACAGCTGTAACAACCGGTTGTAATAACAAGTGCCAGTATGACTACTCATGTTTTAGGGCTGTTACTAAAATAAGGATTACTCAAAACACAAGCATTGCAATGCTGCAACAGCCAGTATGCTAAGCAAGCAGGCTCCCAGCAAGCATACAATGGACAAGGGGCTGACACACACTCTCAGTGGGCTGGGGCAAAGGGGTGTGAGTCCATCGCACTACTCAGAATGAACCTGCTTTTTCTCTTAAAAGCGTGAGTTCAAATTAATGTTGCCAACAACTCTGAGATGCTTTAACTTATTTTTTAAAAACTGATTTTTATTGGAAAGGCAAATTTACAGAGAGAAGGAGAGAGAGAAAGATGTTCATCTACTGGTTCATTCTCCAAATGGCTGCAACAGCTGGAGCTGAGCTGATCCATATTCAGGAGCCAGGAACTTCTGGAATCTCCCATGTGTGTGCAGGATGCCAAGTCTTTGGGCCATCCTCTGCTAATTTCCCAGGCCACAAGCAGGGAGCTGGATGGGAAGTGGAACATCCGGGACACAAAGCCATGCCAATATGGGATGCTGGCATTTATTTGCAAGGGGAGAATTGTCTGAGCAAGTAATGAGGGGATAGAAAAGGAACTGAAGGTGACATGTTGGCAGCAGGTGCTTATCCAAGTCCGTCTCCCTCAACAGTCATTTTTTGGCTTGTTTGCAAGAGTTAAGAGACCGAGGTCCTCTATCCACTCGTTCACTCCCCAAATGGTCACAGTGCCCAGAGTTGAACAGGTCTGAAGCCAGGAGCTCCCTCCATCCAGGTCTCCCACGCACTCCTGGGCCTTGCTCCGCTGCCTTCCCAGGCCATAAGCAGGGAGCTGGATCAGAAGTGGAGCAGCTGGGAATTGAACTGGGGCCCATATGCGCTGCTGGTACATTCTGCATAGGCAGGGCTGGACTGCACTCCCTCTTCCTCCTGCAGTGCCGTTCATTTTAAATCCAGTGTGCAGTTTTCACAATAGTCCCGAGACCAAGTATCCCAAGGACATATAGACTACAGCCCTGAAACCACTGCCTGAGAAGCAGACACCTGCCCCCCAAGTCCCAGCGTCCAGATGAGAGCCAGCAAAACAGTGGGTGCCACTGACAGAAAAGACTTCTTGGCTTGGCCTGTCCACCTGCCAGCACATCTCAGAGTTGAAAACCAGAAATAAAAGGCTGTCGGCCAAAGAGGGCTTGGCACATGCAGACTCGCGTCAGGATGCGCCTGATGAGAAAGGAAACCACATGGGGAAGATATAAAAGTCGAGAGTTTAGAAGGGTTTTTTTTTTAACACTTCAACTGATTTATTTGTTTTATTATTTTTTAAAAATGTGATTTACAGAATTTATCTCTGGAAGGCAAAACTATGACGTTTTTCAAAGATAATTTAGAATATAGGCCCAACACTAAAAAAAAAGATTAGTTAAAACACAAGGAAGAGTGGGGCCCAGTGTGATGGGTCAGTTGACTAACCCTCCTCCCATGAAGCATCAGGATTCCATATGGGCACCAGCAGTCCATGTTCTGGCTGCTCCACTTCTGATTCAGCTCCCTGCTTATGGCCTGTAAAAGCAGTAGAAAATGAGCCTAGTCCTTAGGCGCCTGCACCCACCTGGGAGACGTGCAGGGAGCTCCTGTTTCCTGGTTTCAGCTCAGCTCAACATGTCCATTGTGGCCATTTGGGGAATGAATCAGTGGATGGAAGATCTGTCTCTCCTCTCTGTAAATCTGCTTTTCCAATA